CTCTTACTGAATAGTACTGAATAAATAAATTGCTCAAAGCTTTAGTGAGCAATCTCTCTCTTTTTTATGCATTCTTGGTGGAAGCTCACAGCAATAACCAACCATCTGATTTGAATGCAGTTTCCTTTGTCTGGAAGAGCATCTGAGTAGTTGTTTTTTTATGAATAATAACAGCTATAAAAAATCATCAAAAGCTAAAAAAGAAATCTTTCTTTTTTCTTTTTTTTTTTCTTTGGGCCCAACAGTGCTGAGGATTTGATGCAGGCTTATCATTAGTGTTTTTCATTTTCATATGGCTTGCAGTTTTTGCTCTAGGTTTGCATTGGCCATGACTCTACATTATCATTTATTTAATTTAGGCTATTATATTTTTATTAGCCTATAACCAACACCTTGTAGGCCAAGATAAGGACACTCTGCATTAAGGTAGCATCTCTGGGCTTTTAAATTTCTGGGATGTACCACTCCCTGTATGAATAAAATTCCATTTTCCCACATGCTCTATCTTTGGTCTTTCTAATGCTGTACTTTTTTTCTGCTTTACTATCACTGTTTTCCTTGTATTATTCTCATTATTAGTTTAACTTTCATTATTGTCATCATCATTATTATTATTTTTATTATTATTATTGTTATCACTATTATGTTTTTTTTGTTATTGCTATTATATATTCATATATTATTATTATATAGAAAAATTGTTTTCTGGTCAATTTTTTAATTGTTTTTAAGGTACAAAGGCAGTAATTTTCTTCATAATACAAAATTATTACTGCATTATTATGAGAATAGAGGTGCTTTAGCTTTTCAATAAATTTGCAGTCCACTGAGCTGTTTTTATGGGTAGTTAGTATGTACATGTAAAATTTTTAAAGTATACAGTTCACTAATTTCTCAATTCACCTCCACACAGCTATGAAGCCTCATGAAATCCAGGAGAAGCTAGGCCTAACCAGAATCAGGGACCGCAACTGGTACGTCCAGCCGTGCTGCGCAACCACGGGTGACGGGCTGTACGAGGGCCTTACGTGGCTCACCAGCAATCACAAGTCATGATGCTTGGGCCGGGCTCCCAGCTCTTAGCTTCCATAGTCAGCTCGGCAGACAGAGATGGCTCCTCGGATTGTGACGGATGGACGGCCTATGAACTAAACTAGTGGTCAAGGGGGAAAAGGGGGGTATGGGGTAGAGGTTCAAACTCTTTGAGGACGACAGTGTGGTTTAGGAACTGGTGCCTCGCTAGATTAGGCACAGGAAGGTGGCTGACTGGCCCTGATCATGAGACCCAGTAAGGGCATTGGCTTCCCTTGATTGCAGTGGTGCCAGGCATGTCAGGACCAAACAAGAGAAAATCTTAAAAGAGAGGAAGGAAAGAAAAGAAGGAAGAGGGAAAAGAAGGCATATAAGTGTTGTTGAAAGTCCTGCATGTCTGAAGCAGGAACTAAGTGTGTTGGACATGCAAACATATAGGGGATTTCTGGCCGTGAAAGTTGCAGCTCTCTCTCCTCAGCAGCTGCTGCTCCAAGGGATGCCATCTCCAGCTGCCAAGTGTGAATAGGAGTATCATTATAAATAAACTAAATAATATTTAACGAGTGTTAATGTATATTTTTGATCTATTAGTTGGATATGATTTTATCTACAAAAGACTGCCAAATAAGTATGGATAATAAGACTTGATCTCTATTGTACCCTGCACTAGCTAGAAAGACTACAATTATGAGTTAATTCATGATTTTATAGGAAACACTGTTAAGCATTCTCAGAGCAAATACTTCTATAAAAGATTATATCAGCCAATTAGATTAATTACTTACAAAGGTGCATCCACTAATCTTGATGTTTGTCATCAATCTCAAGTTTCATTAGACCATCTTAGATTCTAGTATTGGTCATTTCCATTGTTTTTCTCATTTCTTTTTCATTGAATTTTTTTTTTCACATGCAATACGTCTTACACATTTGAACTCGCTTATTTTCTCTCCCACTCGTTCTTCCCGGGCACAAAGTTTAAAAAAGATAAAAAATAACAAAGAGCTCGAGCACTGCACTATTTTCTAACATGTGTATATAGGATCCATGGTGCTCTCCTGAGGTCCCCAGAGAGGAGAGGCGCTCAAGTTGTCGTATTGATAAGACTTTTCTATATTTGTCTACATTATGTTCCGTTTTTGTTTTTGCCGAGAGGGGAGCCGAGGGTCCCACGATGGACAACTTTTCGATGTCAGGGTTCAGTCATTATCACAGTGTATTTAAAATGTGTGTGTGCGTGTATTATGAAGGGAATCTATGTCTGTGTGTGTTGGGGGATAGTTTCTTTTTTACACACTTTAAAAGATAGTTTGATTATTATAAAAAAAAGAGAGAGAGAGAAAAAGGATTTTAAAAAAGATGGTTCTGTATATATAATGTGCAAAGTAGTCGGTGCATGAGATGCTTCTGCGTAAAGTGTTTAGGTCTGCAGTTGCTCTTGAGATTTTGTGGTTGCATTTTTTTTTTTTTTTTTTTTTTTCTTTCTTTTCATTTCTATTTTCCCTTTTTGTTTGTTGTTATGTTTTTGTTTCTTGTGTACTGCATTAAGACTTCTTTATAGTTCTTCTAATGTGATGTTTTATTAGGAGCAAATCTTTTCTGTAGTTTTTTGAACCTGGATGCAAAAATAATATTTACCAGTGATAAAAGTATTTTATGTGTATATATACATGTCTATGTATATGTACATGTATAAAACAAGTTAGTGGTTGCTAAATTTGTATTGTGAATAAGAGGTTTACCTTTTCTTTCTTTTTTTTTGGTGGGGGTTGCCTTTTGGAAATAGCACACCAAAAACTTTTGATTCTAAAGGCTTTGAAATACATCCAGGTACAAGGTGTTTTATGAAAAGACATGGGCTATGGGAGAAGGTGACGACCCTGAGCAAAGGTCACAGTACAGCACCACAAGAGGCTCTCGGCCCACACTGTGTTTGGCAACTTGTTTCCAGTCAACTTTTTTTCGTCTGTTATCCTAGGCAGTGATGTGTCTAAATTTGAAAGGATTGAAGTTTCTAGAACACAGGGTGTGTGTGTGTGAACACTTAACAAAAGAGGTATTGCAGTTGAGAATGCAATATCAATATATGTACACAATGACATTGTAGTTACTGATAACCTTATAGGTTACACAAACTTACATTAATGCTGTAAAAATTGTTTCCCCTGAGCAAAGTAAACATTATCTGCACTGCCAGTAATCCCATTATATCCTTGCCAGAGTTAATAAATTCTTGTAGACCTTATTTGAATGTTTTCTCACCAGCTTTGATGTCTGAATACTAACCCTTTTGTTTGTGAGGTGTAGTTCTTCTCAAATAACTCCTGTGATGTTCATTATTACTTTTTTCTTTCCTTTTATCATTTAGGGGGAGCTGTAGGGATTGGTTAAAAGTGTGTTGAGGGTATTGTTCTCAAGTATTACACTAGCAGAGGACAGTCTTCTTTTCTGGAATAGATTACAGTAAGAGAGAGAGAGAGAGATGGGTGGAGGAGGTGGCAGTGTGGATGTAGAAGGCTTCTGAAAAGATACATAGATTTCTTTTCTTTTTTATATATATATATCGCAAACTGAAATGACAATATATTGTTAGCTTTGATATGGAAGACAAAAAACACTTTCAGCTCGGTAGTTGTGAGACACCTTTATATAATCAGTCTTACTCCCAGTCATCATTATTTGGTGATAATCCCTCCTGTAGAACCGAGTCATGTAGCAACTCTTTGTATAGTATGAAGCACAATTTTTAAAAAAGATATATTCCCTGATTATTATTTTCTTTTTCTTTCTTTCTGTTTATTGTGATATGCACTTCATCTCTCTCATTGCAGGAAGTTGTCACAGTTGCTTTTCCTTCATATGGGTTATTGTTTCTCATTAGGGCTGCTTTTTGCTTTTCTTTTTTTTTTAATATTTTCACTTTTTTTTATTTGAGGCTGTATTGTATGATATATCACTTTAATGTCCTTTAGGTGTACTTGAAGAGAAATATGTTTTGTAACCTCTCTATCCCTGTTTCATATCAAAAAATAAAAAAAAAGAAAGAAAAAAACTTAGTGAATAGCAGAAACAAAGAGAAACACTTGTAATTTAATGGAGAAATGAACAGGGAATGTGAAACATTCTGGGATACTTTGGGATACTGAGCTCTGACATATTCATGGTCATCATCAACTTTAATTTTTAAGTACAGTTTGAGAGATTATGATTTCCAGTGGGACTTGCATGCCAGCATAGGAGAGTGTCCATGTAACTCGGAACACCATTTGGCAGTTTAAAAAAAAGAAAAAAGAGAAAAAAAGAAAGAAAACTGTAAAATCAATGGCTAGACTTTCACAGAGGAAACAGATGGTTTCCTCCTGTCATAGAAGAAAGCATGCTCAACTTGGCCACTCCGTCAAAGGAAAATAAAAATGGGGAGAAAATAATATTAAAAAAAGAGAAAGAAAAAATGATAACCATTTTGTTACTCTTGTTATTATGTTTTACTTGTATATGAAGTAGTTTGTTGGACTTTGGTATTCCTTGTTGTCTACTCGTGTAGTATGCTGTATAAACTATTTTTTCATTTCCTTTTTACACTATGATTGTTAATATGTGAAGTCCATGTCCCATAATGGTGTCTTTCTCTCCTTTAGGTAAGCACTAGGAAACAATCATGAAGAAATGTAAAAGTTGTTATTATTATTATCATTATTATTATAACTATTCCTTTTTCTTTTCTTCTTTCAGTCTGGTGTACATTTTTAGTGACTCTTTTTTAAGTTCGAAGACATTTTGTTGTGCATATAAATCCAAAATATGAACTCCCTAGCTAATATTTATACGTGGAAAAATAAATCACGGTTTTTGACGGCAGAATAGAAATATAGATTATAAAGACTTCATTTTCTAGCTGGTTGGAAAATCTCTTGATCATATTGGAAAAAAAGAACAATGTTCATCGTACTTATAAAAGTCTAAAAGTATGTGACAGATTAAGCTTGTTCTTTGGTTGAACTCTCAACATCAGGAATTCTTTTCTAATTATTATTATTATTTTTTTTTTCTATTTTTTTTTCCATTTGCTGTAGTAACATTTTGTTGATTGTGTAAATAACAGTTGTATGTTTCCATTTCATTTTGTAAATATAAAATACCAGATGTATTTTTTTTTTCTTCTTTTTTTTTTTCTTTTTGTTTTTTGTTTGATTTGTTTTCTTGTAGGATGGTCTTATATTGCAAGGATTATTATGTAACGGGTTTCTTTTGAAAACCCACCTTTTCTGAATGTGCTTTGCTGATAGCCAGAGTGATAGGGACTTTTTGCTTGTATGCGCCATAGAGAGTTTACATCCCAGCTGCTGAGGGACTCCAACCTCACCAGCACAACTCATATCAGGAGCTTTGTGACACAGCTTTAGAGCCTCAGCTACCTACCATTGATCAAAACCACTCTCAGATGTCCTAATTTTTGTATATATGTGTCAGGTGAGCACCGTTCCATTCCCTTTCAACATAGTCCTGCGTGCATAATTGGGTTCATCCAAGTCTGCACAGGTGCATCTGCGGTTGTGGCTACTGCTCTGTGCAGTATGCTTTATCTGATGCCTTTCTCTCCACTGGTTATATCATTGGGGAGGGAGAGCCAAAGGAAATAATAGATAATTTGAAAAATAATGGATGTAAAAAAGCAAAAAAATATTTTAATCTTTGGGATTTAATTCATACTGCAGTGTTATTCTTTTTTCAAGAAGGTTGATTTATAGAGATTTAGTGTATAAGGAATATTGGCTGTATAATTCACTGGAGAGTAAGAGGAATGACTGTTAATACCAGTGCTTTTAACACATTGTCACAGTATTGGCATGTAACAAAACATACCAAGTAGCTTACTTTATGGATAATGGTGTGAAATCAGTTTGTGCGAGTGTACCTGACAATGGCGACAGTGATGTGATTGTATTTGTAAACAAAGTAATCAAGATGTATATAGCAAAATCTAACTGTGTATGAATCTGATGCCTTGTACTTCTGCTTACAGAGATTGCATATTAGCACACATGCTCTGATGATGATGATGATGTTTATTTATTATTATTATTATTATTTTTTAATCATTATTTGTATTTTATTTTTTGCTTCTCCCTTTTTCTTTTCTTTTATTAGCAAATGTTTGCAGCAAGGACCATCCTGATACATTTTCCAGTGTCACTAATGAATATATGAATTAAATTTTATGGTCAATCCTTAGTTTCAATTTACCATTTTTCTTTTCATAATATATTTGGAAAAAATAATGTAATACAATATCACATTGTAAATACTGCACAATAAAGATGCCTTGTATGTTTGATTTATTAGCTTAAGATTAACATATGGTTTTTATCCATTTAGTAACAAGACTCAGAACACAGTATCAGTAAATAATCATAGTTCTATGGTAATGTAGCTTAACTTTATTAGCAATCCTGCTTTTCTTGTATTTATAGAAATTTGTATTCATATCATTACCTATACAGGGAGTTTGAAGAGCACTATAACATAGAATGAAGGGATGTAATGTGTTGATGCTGACCTAGTAGTTCATTTAAGTGGCAGAGTTTTCCTTCAATTTGTTAAGAATACTTTTGCATTCACAGGTAACACTACTCCTATTTCGTGAGTTACCCAGGTTCATCTTTGACATGAGGAACATTCTGGTTGATGTTAGCTGTGTCTGATGCCTAAATGTGGGACCAACATCTCAAAAAGTCTGTCTTAAAGTGTGTCAGTTTTTCAACAACAAAGTATATGTATATATTGCACATTCAGGCCGAGTGTGGCAGCAGGTGGTGTCAGTTTTAAAGCTTGACAAAGATAAATGTACTTTGTTAGAGACAATACTCTTCATGCAAATTACTGATACATATGTTAATTCTCCATTGTGTAGTATACCTATAGTCTGCTCCAGGAACTCTGACATAAATTTTAAGCAAAGATAAGGGCCTTAACTCATAAAAAATGATGTATCGAAAAGCTCCAACAGTCCTTTCAAGAGTTACTGATGCCAAACACAATTGTTTTGTAATATAGTTGATGGAACAGGCTACAACATGGAACTAGATTTGACGCAAATCTAACAAACATTATTTAAGCAATAATAAACTCCAACATGAATTTACATTTTTTTCAAGAGCATTTTCATGCTAATGCTGCTTTGTAAACATAAAGATTGAAAAAAGTAAAGGAGTTTAGTACACTATTATGAAAACTAACTAGTTTATTCTCTTCATGATCAAAGCCCAAGTGGTAAAATAATGTGGGTCATGTGGCTTGATTGTTTTAGTACTGGCCCTCCGGTTTCATACCCAGAGTGACTTAGGGTCGAGGCCTGGTCAAGGAGGATTGTTATATTAAATAATGATAATGCATGAATAAACAAACTATTTTTTTTACAAAAAGTTGCTTTATCAAGGTTTCAAAAAAACTGGCTTTTCCAGTCCCGTC